TCTTCTGCATATAGTTGCAAGTGTTCCTACGACACCACAATCCCTAGTCATGTCTCTGTAACAACACTTTTGACAGAATATTCAAATTATTGTTAGCACATAGGAGACTTATTGTATAATATACTGATTTTTTTGTTGTTGCAATGGAGCCAGACTTCCTTATTTAAAATGTTAGCTCCTGCTTTCATTGAATGTTGGACCAGGGAGAAATTACATACTTCAGTGCCTCAGTTTTCTATGTGTACATTAGGGCAATTAATAATATATCTTATGGTGCTGTTTTGAGGATCATGTAAGTTTCTGTATATAAAACTGCTTAAAGGAAACTCTTATTAAGGCTCCCCTATCATAACTGCAATCTGGGGAACTTCACACTTAACATCTACCTCTATAAGACTTAAAAGTGTCTCAAGTTAGTGCATCCTCCATCACAACTATATTGAATAAATGGATGCTTCTGAAACAAGGGTTTATATACGCTTCCATTCTTAGAAATTGCTACTGAGTACAACATGACAACTCAATTTCCTAAATGATTTTTGACTACAAAATGGGCAGCATTTTCTAGATATATAGCTTTGAGATGATGAAAAAACTTAGTATTACACATAGGCATATAATCATCTACATTGGTATAAGCATCCAATTTATTGTGTAAGTGAGGGTTTATACATGTGTGTCTATGTATATGTCTGTTACAATGCTGCTCATTATGCAAATGGTAATGTCTTTTTAAGATATATGTATTTATTTGAAAGTCAGAGCAAGTAAGAGAAGGAGAGACAGAGAGAAAGAGGTCTTCCATCCATGGTTTACTTCCCAGATGGCTGCAATGGCCAGCACTTGGCCAGGCAGAAGCCAGGAGCCAGGAGTTTCTTCCAGGTCTCCCAGTTGGCAGCAGGGGCCCAACTACTTGGGTCATCTTCTGCTTTTCCCAAGCCATTAGCAGGAAGCTGATCGAAAGCTGAGCGGCCAGGACATGAATCAGTGTCCATACAGTATGCCAGCACTGTGGGAAACAGCTTTATCTGTTATGACACAATGCTTATCCCACAACTGGTAATATCTAAATCAAATAATTTTCATGGGGTCAGCATTGTGGCACAGAGGGTAAAGATACTGCTTGTGACACTGGCATCCCATGCCAGTTTGATTCCCAGCTTATCTGCTTCTAAATCAGCTTCCTGCTAATATACTTAAGAAGACAGTAAAAGATGGTACATGTACTTGGGTTCCTGGCACCCATGTGGGTTCCTGGCACCCATGTGGGAGACCAGGTTGGATTACCTCAGCCCTGCCTTTGGCGTGGCTCAGCCTTGCCTCTCTCTTTCTGTCTATCTTTATTTCTTTCAAATAAATCTTTCAAATAAATCAAAATAAAATAAATAGTTTGAAATCTAAAATATTTTACCTGCTCTAAAGTATAGAACCTGTCTAAGTATTGAAGTAAATCATATATATGTATACATATATATATATATGTGTGTGTGTATATATGTATGTATATATGAGATACATATACCTCTGGATACCCTTACTATTTCTCTATATAGAATGTAAACTAATATTCAGTTTAATATCACAGTTTGGTCTTACTTGAAATGGTGTCAACATTAATATTGCCTCCATTAAATATAATGGTTTTCAAGGCTAATACCCACTAAGCTGTAGAGGAATGCTTCTATAAATTCCTATTTGGGAAAATTATTTCAATATAAGTGTAGGAAAACCGATTATTCTCTAAACAAGTGGTGTTTCCAATAACGAGAAATACAAGAAGGAGTGTTTTCCATATTTGCTCTTTTACAAAATGATAGGTTAGATTTGTGGCTCAGTTATCTGTTGTGCTTCTTTTTTTGACATTTTTTAATCCTAAGATCTTTATTATTTATAATACTTTACTTTTCCATGTGTTATCTCAAAGCCTTTCTAGAAACAGTATATATATAAATATATTTATAAATATTTACATACATACATACATATAAGGCTTTAATTGGGTATTATGTTATCATACTTCTATTCCCAAGTTTAAAAACATCAATACAGAGTTAATTAAATTTTAATTAGCTTCCTTGCATAAAGGCCATCTTGGCAGCCATTGTTTCATTTATATTAGAAATGTATATTGCTTAAGAACTAAGGGTTTTCATTATCAATCACTCATGTGGAGCCAAGTACCTACGACAATAATACTGTTGAAATTATGTTGGATGTAGTTCCACAACTCTTTAGTTATACATAAATAATAATTCATCTTTAAAATAACTGGATGGACTCCATACTTTCCCAGAAAATATATAAGTTGTATTCTGGAGAATCAAACAGTAACATATAGAAGCAACCCCTTATATTATTTTTCCTTCTGTCCCTCTGGAAATGAAATGGTACTCTATGTAGAAAACAGTAAAAGCAGTTTCATTAGATTATTCAAGAAATGTTGATTTTGTCACCTCCAGTTGTGTCAACTAATGTCTACAGATCTACAGAGAATATGAGGCAAGTATTAGGCCCAGCTTCCTGCCAATGAAGACACTGGAAAGCAGCAATAATAGCTCAAGTAACATGGTTCCTGACATATATCCAAGAGATTGGGATTGTATTCCCAGTTCCTGGCACCAGCCGCAGCTCAGTCCTAGCTGTTGTGGATATGTTCAGTGAACTAGTGGATGGCAGCTCTCTTGCTCTTGCTCTCATTCTTATCCCTTCTCAAACCACAAAAATTAAAAAGAAAAACAAACACAGAAGGGCTTATTCTCAGGCACTTTCAAGGACCCTTAATTGGTGTAAGTTTAATCATAAGCAGACTTTACTGCCTTTTATGAAGTAGAGGTTTAAAGCTATGCTACCTTTCCATGTGTCTTGGATGTCAAAATGCTATTCTTATATTAAGTTAAATAAAAAAGAAGCAAGTATACCAGAACTAAATGAAATTATTTAAACCTAAAATATGTTAGTAAATGTTTTCATTTATATGCAGAACTCTGTGCAGTAAAATTTGGCAAATTCATAATTTACAGAACCTTCCCCCAAATTTTCTAAGACTCTCTCAGGGCTGGGAGCTATTAACAGGCCACAGATACGACCTCAGAAAGGCACACTGGTTCCAAATGGAAGCCCTGGGCCTCAGTGGTCATTGTTCCTCATTTCTGCTTATAATGACCTGCTTAACCAATTGGTTCACAAATCCTTCCTAAGATTACAACATCAGGTAGCCCCAAGGTAATGTGTGCACACTCTGATTCCTAGTAATCAGACTATTAAAGAAATAGGGCCTGCATAATGGGACTATATTTTTATAATTATTGCCTTGTAAGATCATTGGAAATTGGATGGCCGGGTTTGTGCTCACAGACTGATCTGAGGTGATGACGCCATTTTTATACACAGATGGTATCCTGCAAAAATATTTGACTAATGGGTGGGTATTTTATACTACTGTTAAAGATGCCTGCATCTCCTATGGGACTGCCTGGGTTCTCCCCCCGGGAAAGAAGCTCTGTTCTCCATAACAGCTTCCTGTAAAGCATATCCCAGGAAGCTACAGGTGATGTCTCAAGCACTTATATCCCCACCACCCATGTGGAAGTCCCAGATTGAGTCTGCAGTTCCCAGCTTCAGCCTAGGCCTGCCCTTGCTATTGTGGGCATTCTGGAATGTAAGATCTCTCTCTGTTTCTCTGTTTCTTTTCTGCCTTTCAAATGAAAAAAAAATGCAATTTAAAAAACTACAGATAAAAAGCCAAAGTAAAATTATATTAAAAATAATTGCCTGTGGCCCCATGTACCTTAGTTGCAATCATGGCTATATGCTCATTTTCAACAAAGTTTCATTGGGAATCCTTCTATACTGTATTTTCCAATATCTTTTAAATGCATTTCCACAAGAACAATTTCAAAAAAGTATAGTCAAAAAGGTATATTTTAAATGACTATGTTTCCTTTGGCCAAATATTAAAATTATAAGACCCATCATGATTCTCTTTAACTTAGATTTTTTAGAACGCTCAGTAGATTTAACAGTCAAGAGTCATGATCTTCTAAATCTATTTTCAAATACTCTTCCTACTATTATTTTCCATTTCTGTCACTGAATTTATTTTAAATTCGTCTAGGGCATATATGTTTTATTGAAACCCTTGAAAAATCTTTTAGAAAGTTTAGAAAGTACTTTAGCAAGTAACAATAAAATGCAATATTTATTTTTCTGGGGAAAACAATTTTTGGTGGGATGGATAGGTAATCTCTATTCTAGACATGGATGAAAAAATTTATACAAGAAAAATAAGCAGTGAAATGTAGGTGTGCTGAAATAAATTGCCATCAACTATTTCATGGAAAAATAATTTCTATAAACTTGCAATAAGATTTTAAAATTATGTTCTTTGTTGAACATTGATATATACATATTTTGTACCAACATATATTCTTTTGGCTAAGCTTCATTTAATTTCATATTTGGCTTTATAAATAGCTTGCATAATATATAACGAAGAAATTGCTTAGAAAGTATAACAAATCAAATACTTCAGAATCACCAAGCAAATGATATGTTTCAAGGGAAAGGGACAGAAATACACCCTGGTCATTATAGAATACCAATATCAGTTTCAAATATTATGACAGATGATCTTTCTCTCTGCTCTGAAGTTGTTGGTTTACAACTTTAGATAAACCATGAGCAGTAATGTGCAATAACTACATTTTTAGTGCCATTTACATATTTTTACCTTTGTGTCTCCAGAATACAATACCAGAAATGGAAACAAGACATATACTACTTTTCTTAAAATAACTAGCTAGAATGGAAGCGAGAGGATATAAATGATTTCGGAAAGCTTACCAGGGTCATTGAGTCAGGAAGAGAAACATGGCTTTTGGAGTTCAATTCCAGTGGTCTAGTCACTGGTTTGTTCAACTCCTTGCAAAACATCCACACACAATGCACAATTCACGTTCCCCCTTCCTACTAAGCGATTGTCAAAAGAAACATGGCATTACCTTTCCAACATACTGAGGCTCGGCGCCCATGTATTCCTCCAGCACAAAAAATTGATTCCATACCCAGCCACGTTTAACTCGTTGAAAATGTAATCGTCGTCCTGGCAGGCGGAGAACATTTTCTCTTGGTTCTGTGGTCAAAGTCTGCCGTGGCTGTGGTTGAAGTGGTGTTAGGAGACCTCCATCAAACAGGACCCAGAGAAGCAGTGATAAACAGTTCCTTGTAAGCATTGGCAAAGGCTTTCCTACACAGAGTAATAAAAACTCCAGCACTTAAGGCAGACTTGTGGGATCCAGGTTTGAGGTGTCTGTGGCCTTAACCACTGAGCTTTCTGTTTTATTGCAGAAATGACCACACAGACATTAATCCTTTTGATATTGCTGCTGTATTATATTCCATCTAAATGGACCTATAAAACAGATAAAAACAAATACCCTAAATTAATAAAATTTCCTGCCGATATTTATCAAAACTCACTTATACCTGTCAACTATTTAAAGTAGAGAGGAAAAATTTTTAAAGAATTATATAGGTACATGGTCACTACTGCTTAGCTTGTTAATTTGGATAAATTATCCAAGTTTTGAGACTTGAAAAAAATATTATTTACAATGAAGCAAAAGGTTTGCAATAAACAGAGGTAATCTTTCCTCAACATTAATAGTTGTAATGAGTGATCATTAATATCATTTTAAAGTACACAATTAAAATTAGAATAAGATTCTATAACTTGAGCTCTATTGACATTTGGGAGTGTATAATTCATCGATCCTGGGACATATCTTGAGTGTGCTGAGTGTTCTTTGTTGAACATTGATATATACATATTTTGTACCAACATATATTCTTTTGGCTAAGCTTCATTTAATTTCATGTTTGGCTTTATAAATAGCTTACAAAATATATGACGAAGAAATTGCTTAGAAAGTATAACAAATCAAATACTTCAGAATCACCAAGCAAATGATATGTTTCAAGGGAAAGGGGCAGAAATACACCCTGGTCATTATAGAATACCAATATCAGTTTCACTCCTATATCCCACCCAACAGATGACAGTACCTCTCTCCCATATCCAGATGTGACAACTAAAAATATCACCCGAATTTCAAAATATCCTCTGAGATCAGAAAATAAACCAAAACTCATATCCACAGATTCTGGGGAAAAATCTCATTTAAAAAAAAAAATTAAAAAATATTCTATGAAGTTAGAGACTGGAAGCATCAGATGACCCAGGAAAGAAGCTAAATTACTACAAGGACTTGTATGCCAGCAAACAGGGAAACCTATCAGAAATGGATAGATTCCTGGACACATGCAACCTGCCTAAATTGAACCAGGAAGACATCGAAAACCTAAACAGACCCATAACTGAGACAGAAATTGAAACAGTAATAAAGGCCCTCCCAACAAAGAAAAGCCCAGGACCAGATGGATTCACTGCTGAATTCTACCAGACGTTTAAAGAAGAACTAACTCCAATTCTTCTCAAACTATTCAGAACAATCGAAGAAGAGGGAGTCCTCCCAAATTCTTTCTATGAAGCCAGCATCACCTTAATTCCTAAGCCAGAGAAAGATGCAGCACTGAAAGAGAATTACAGACCAATATCCCTGATGAACATAGATGCAAAAATCCTCAATAAAATTCTCGCCAATAGAATGCAACAACACATCAGAAAGATCATCCACCCAGACCAAGTGGGATTTATCCCTGGTATGCAGGGATGGTTTAATGTGCACAAGACAATCAATGTGATACACCACATTAACAGACTGCAGAAGAAAAACCATATGATTATCTCAATAGATGCCGAGAAAGCATTTGATAAAATACAACACCCGTTCATGATGAAAACTCTAAGCAAACTGGGTTTGGAAGGAACATTCCTCAATACAATCAAAGCAATCTATGAAAAACCCACAGCCAACATCCTATTGAATGGGGAAAAGTTGGAAGCATTTCCACTGAGATCTGGAACCAGACAGGGATGCCCACTCTCACCACTGCTATTCAATATAGTTCTGGAGGTTCTAGCCAGAGCTATTAGGCAAGAAAAAGAAATTAAAGGGATACAAATTGGGAAGGAAGAACTCAAACTATCCCTCTTTGCAGATGACATGATTCTTTATTTAGGGGACCCAAAGAACTCTACTAACAGACTATTGGAACTCATAGAAGAGTTTGGCAAAGTAGCAGGGTATAAAATCAATGCACAAAAATTAACAGCCTTTGTATACACAGGCAATGCCATGGCTGAGAAAGAACTGCTAAGATCAATCCCATTCACAATAGCTACAAAAACAATCAAATATCTTGGAATAAACTTAACCAAGGACGTTAAAGATCTCTACGATGAAAATTACAAAACCTTAAAGAAAGAAATAGAAGAGGATACCAAGAAATGGAAAAATCTTCCATGCTCATGGATTGGAAGAATCAATATCATCAAAATGTCCATTCTCCCAAAAGCAATTTACAGAATCAATGCAATACCAATCAAGATACCGAAGACCTTCTTCTCAGATCTGGAAAAAATGGTGCTGAAATTTATATGGAGGCACAAGAGACCTCGAATAGCTAAAGCAATCTTGTACAACAAAAACAAAGCCGGAGGCATCACAATACCAGATTTCAGGACATACTACAGGGCAGTTGTTAACCAAACAGCATGGTACTGGTACAGAAACAGATGGATAGACCAATGGAACAGAATAGAAACAGCAGAAATCAACCCAAACATCTACAGCCAACTTATATTTGATCAAGGATCTAAAACTAATTCCTGGAGCAAGGACAGTCTATTCAATAAATGGTGCTGGGAAAATTGGATTTCCACGTGCAGAATCATGAAGCAAGACCCCTACCTTACACCTTACACAAAAATCCACTCAACATGGATTAAAGACCTAAATCTACAACCTGACACCATCAAGTTACTAGAGAACATTGGAGAAACCCTTCAAGATATTGGCACAGGCAAAGAATTTCTGGAAAAGACCCGGGAGGCACAGGCAGTCAAAGCCAAAATCAACTATTGGGATTGCATCAAATTGAGAAGTTTCTGTACTGCAAAAGAAACAGTCAGGAGAGTGAAAAGACAACCGACAGAATGGGAAAAAATATTTGCAAACTATGCAACAGATAAAGGGTTAATAACCAGAATCTACAAAGAGATCAAGAAACTCCACAAAAACAAAACCAACAACCCACTTAAGAGATGGGCCAAGGACCTCAATAGACATTTTTCAAAAGAGGAAATCCAAATGGCCAACAGGCACATGAAAAAATGTTCAAGGTCATTAGCAATCAGGGAAATGCAAATCAAAACCACAATGAGGTTTCACCTCACCCCGGTTAGAATGGCTCACATGCAGAAATCTACCAACAACAGATGCTGGCGAGGATGTGGGGAAAAAGGGACACTAACCCACTGTTGGTGGGAATGCAAACTGGTCAAGCCACTATGGAAGTCAGTCTGGAGATTCCTCAAAAACCTGAAGATAACCCTACCGTTCGACCCAGCCATCCCACTCCTTGGAATTTACCCAAAGGAATTTAAATTGGCAAACAAAAAAGAGGTCTGCACCCTAATCTTTATTGCAGCTCAATTCACAATAGCTAAGACCTGGAACCAACCTAAATGCCCATCAACGATAGACTGGATAAAGAAATTATGGGATATGTACTCTTTAGAATACTATACCGCAGTAAGAAACAACGAAATCCAGTCATTTGCAACAAAATGGAGGAATCTGGAACACATCATGCTGAGTGAAATAAGCCAGTCTCAAAGGGACACATACCATATGTTCTCCCTGATCGGTGACGACTGACTGAACACCAAGAGGGAAACCTGTTGGAGTGAGGTGGACACTATGGGAAACGGTGGCTTGATCAGCATAGCCCTGACTGTTAATGAACAACTTAATTCATTATCCCTCTTAGTAGTTTTTTTATCTGTTCTACTTAATATGACTGGTTTAGATCTGTAATTGATGCACAGTTATTCTTAAGTGTTGAAAATTAACTGAAATGCGATCCCTGTTGAACATGGTGGTGGGAATGGGAGAGGGAAGAGATGTATAATTTGGGACATGCTCAGGCTGACTTGCCCCAAGTGGTGGAGTTGGAAGCATACCAGGGGATTCCAATTCAATCCCATCGAGGTGGCATGTACCAATGCCATCTCACTGTTCCAGGTGATCAGTTTCAGTTCACAGTTGGTCATGGTGGAGGGACTGGGAATCAAAGGGAGCACATAGACAAGTCTAGTACCTGCTAACGCTAACTGATGGAGTAAATAAAGGGGAGAGTGATCCAACATGGGAAGTGAGATACTCAGCAGACTCATAGAATGGCAGATGTCCTAAATAGCACTCTGGCCTCAGAATCAGTCCTAAAGGCATTCGGAGCTGGCTGAAAAGCTCATGAGAGTATTTCAGGCATGGAAAGCCAAGACACTCTGGCAAAAGATCTCTGCGAGTGAGATCCCAGTGGAAAGAACGGGTCATCAAAGAAGGAGGTACCTTTCTCTGAAGGGAGGAGAGAACCTCCACTTTGGCTATGACCTTGTCTAAACAAGATAAGAGTCAGAGAACTCAGAGGGCTTCCATAGCCTTGGAAACTCATGACTGGAGCATAGGGAGATTACTGATGCCATAGACAGGAGTGTCAATTGGTAAAGTCAACAACAGGAGTCACTGTGCACTTACTCCTCATGTAGGATCTCTGTCCTTAATGTGCTGTACATTGAGATTTAATGCTATAACGAGTACTCAAACAATATATTTCACTTTGTGTTTCTGTGTGGGAGCAAACTGTTGAAATCCTTACTTAATGCAGACTAAACTGATCCTCTGTAAAAAAAAAAAAAAAAAGAAAGAAATTATCAACTCCCAACTTACTCTCACTGGGATTAAACATGACAATAGGTCTGCTCTGATTTCATCATCATTTAAAAAAAATCATCTATTATTTTTCACTTTATGTTTCTGTGTGGGAGCAAACTGTTGAAACCCATACTTGATGTATACTAAGCTGATCTTCTGTATATTAAGATAATCAAAAATGAATCTTGATGTGAATGGAAGGGGAGAGGAAGTGGGAAAGGGGAGGGTTGTGGGTGGGAGGGACGGTATGGGGGGGAAGCCATTGTAATCCGTAAGTCGTACTTTGGAAATTTATATGCATTAAATAAAAGTTAAAAAAAAAAGAAGCTAAATTACTACATGCAGATGTAAATTCTTTTATTAAATTGTAAATGATAAAAATGTCAGCTGTCTAGAAGGCTTTCTAAACTTTAAATAAAAAACAATACTTCTTTGGCCTTGATCCACTGGAAACACCGGATGTTTGGGAATTTTTTGTATATGGTATGCATCTCAGAGCAATCTTGATTCCTAT